GCTGCATTTCAGGAAGGAAATGAAAGGCCACAACTTTCACAATTGTATTATTTTTACTGGCATTCAAAGATTTAAAAGTACAAACAGTCATCTGAATTGTCGTTGGCTGAAACGATGCAATTAACTATGGATTCTATTAAGCCAATTATCATGGCCCTTGGCCTTCATGCTCCTCTCTCTGTATTTACTTTGTGTGGCAAACCCTCATGTCCCTTGTCTGAGAAGTCCCGTGTGATTGGAGGACCACTGGCCCTTTAACCGATCGGAGGAGTAGCTCTACACTTCCAAGTAACTGAATCCCCCTCATGTTTGAGGCCTTTGTGGCTGGTTTTCCATGTTGTGTCCATGACGTTCGATCTCCGTTTCTGTCGTGTCATTGATTGAAAGAGACAGTCTCTGTCTCCTTCCTTGGACGGCCTGGTGGGTGAGTGGCTAGCACTCCAGCTTCTCAGCAAGAAGGTCCTGAAACAGGGCCTTTTTGAGTAGAGTGCATAATGCACAGTAGGTAAATAATCCAGCTCTGGTCTTGACCAAGCCGAGCATCAACAACTGGAGATGGACTACGGTGACCACTACGGTGACCACTGACCACGTTTGGAGCTTACTTCCAAACGTAAATGTAATGAGTTTGCACATTTTTTCAATGACAAGGTTCAAGGCATCAAAAACGCCATTGTCCCCAATCCACAGATAACAATCCAACAGCCAGAAAGGCTCTTTGAGCTAACTTACTTTGCACCTGTAAATGATCAAACTGTCCAAGAGATAATCTCCAATTTGAGCTCCTCCACATGCAGCCTGGATGTACTACCCACTATATTTCTAAAGTCTGTTCTGAGCAGTCTGTTACCTTCACTCACACAGATAGTAAACATGTCCCTTGATTCTGGAATATTCCCAAAGGCCCTGAAAACTGCAGTCATCAGGCCCCTGCTAAAAAAGAGCAGTCTGGATGCTACGGTACTTAACAACTATCGTCCCATCTCAAATCTGCCATTTATGGGGAAAGTCCTTGAAAAAGTTGTCTACCTACAGCTTACTAGATTTCTTATAATCAACAACTCATTTGATATGTTTCAGTCCGGCTTTAGACCCCACCACAGCACTGAGACTGCTCTCGTTAAGGTTACAAACGATATCCGGCTGAACACTGACGCAGGCAAAGTCTCAATCCTAATCCTGTTAGATCTAAGTGCTGCCTTTGACACTGTCGACCATGAGATCCTCTTACAGAGACTAGAGGACTGGGTTGGCGTCGCTAGCTCCGCCCTAAGTTGGTTTAGGTCTTACCTTGAAGACAGGAAGTACTTTGTGGAGATTGGAAACTGTGTCTCAGATCATATGGCCCTGACCTGTGGAGTCCCACAGGGGTCGATCCTGGGACCTCTTCTGTTCAATCTCTACATGCTGCCGTTAGGTCAGTTAATACGCAGAAACAAAGTTTCCTATCATAACTATGCAGACGACACTCAGATCTATGTCTCACTGACTGCAGGAGAACATGGACCAGTGGACTCACTCCTTCACTGTATCCAACAGATCAGTGAGTGGATGCAAAACAACTTCCTTCAGCTAAACGCAGACAAAACTGAAATGATTGTCTTTGGTCCCCAGAAACAAAGAGAGAGCGTCATCTGTCACCTACAGTCTCTCTCCCTTAAACCTTCAAACAAGGTCAGAAATCTAGGGGTAATACTGGACTCAGACTTAAATTTTAATAGCCACATCAAATCAGTAACATCAGCAGCTTTTTACCATCTAAAAAACATTGCCAGGATCAAAAACATAGTGTCTAAAGCAGACTTGGAGATTCTTATCCATGCATTTGTCTCCAGTAGGTTAGACTACTGCAATGGCCTGCTCACAGGTCTGTCCAAACAGGCTGTAAAACAGCTGCAGTACATTCAAAATGCAGCAGCTCGAGTCCTGACAAGAACCAGGAAGTACGACCACATTAGTCCGGTCCTCAGGTCTCTGCACTGGCTTCCTGTGGCTCAGAGAATAGACTTTAAAACAGCTCTGCTTGTGTCCAAGTCTCTCCATGGCCTCGCACCAAAATATATTAGTGACATGTTAGTCCCATATGAACCAGCCCGGACTCTGAGGAGCACAGGGACTGGACTCCTGTTAGTGCCCAGAGTCAGAACTAAACATGGGGAGGCTGCTTTTCAGATTCATGCTGCTAAAATCTGGAACAATCTTCCTGAAGATGTGAGACAGGCCTCCTCTCTGACAATGTTTAAAACCAGGTTAAAGACAGTTCTGTTTAACTGTGCATACAACTGAGGGATTTTATATTTTTATCTTTCGTTTTAATGTTCTGTAATTATTTATGATTTTAATGCATCTTGTTCAGCACTTTGAGATGCCTTGTGTATGAATTGTGCTATACAAATAAACTTGCCTTGCCTTGCCTTGCACTGCTCCTGACGGAAGCATTGGTGCCATCAGGATGGGTCAAATGCTGACCCTGACGAAAAAATGTACACATTTACGTTCCTTTGTTTCCTTTTAGTTATACTTTTGTTGAGACTACATTATATGATGATAATATAATGTTTGTTTGAACATGTCTCTTTGACATTTTATTTTGATTACCTCTGAGAGCCAGGTGTGTGAAGAGAGGGAACTTTCTCACACTTGTCCTTGTCACTGTTCTCATGTCATCTCTTTTGCCTAGCGTACATCGGACTGGCAACTGAATATATCCGTCGCCTTTGAGTTGCTGCCCTGCACACAGCGACAATTTGGCGAAAACGGGCAACTCCTAGTAGCAGACCAGTCTCGGGAATAACAGCGCGTACATCGACAGCAACTGGCCTCACCTACAGTGTGTTTTCTGGCATAATCTGTTGAGGGCGCAATACACGCAATACACACGTTGTTGGAGCACATCGGGTGATATTTCCGGATCTGAGGACAACTAGTTGCCGAAAAGTAGAACACGGGCAACTGACTGAATCCGGAGATCGACTGTTTATCTCCAGTTGTAAGAGCGCTCACATCGACCGATTTTGGCAACTGATCATCTCCATCATCTACTCTCAGTCGCCAAAAGCCGTCTTGCAACTAGTTAGGCAATGCTAGGCCCTAGACAAACTCACCAAAAATGAGCTCCAGAAGGATGACATCTGAGGAGGCTTTATCACAGATTTTTAACTGGGATAATGATGTAGAGGAAGAGATTTCAGAAACAGAGGATTTTTCAGATACAGGACAATGTTATTGCTGATCCAGATTGTCAATTTTCTTACGATAAGGAGGATTCAGAGGACGAATCTTTGGCCAAGTAAAGAGGAAGGGAGGAAGGAAGGAAGGTAGGAAGGAAAGAAGGGAGAAAGGAAGGAAGGAAGGAAAAGAAAAGAAGGGAATAGAGAAGGATGAACAGAGAGAAGGAAAACAGGATGAGAAAAAGGAAGGAGAAAGCATGGCAGGAGGAAAGAGGGAGGGAAGAATTGTCATTTTGACCCGAGAGGAGGACAAGAAGATTAGACTAAATATTTCTTAAATATATTGTTGGAATAAAAAATGTCACTTTTCTAAATATTTATATAACCTAAAATAAAGTTGTTATTGGTTTAACCTGTTTTCTTGACTGTTTTGAGTGCATTTACACAGTACGGGTCAAAATGACCCGCAACATAATCAATGTAATTTTTTTTCAACATAATACAAGGGTTAAACAATACATGGTCGTTTTTCTTTATGGCTCTGATAGTGGAAATATTGGTGTTTTAAATATTTTTATGTAGTGGCGATTGTGAATTGAGTTGATGATTATTTGAGTCGTTGCTCGAGGAGTTTGTCCCCTGGTCCCGAGGGAGAAGAGGGATCATTACTCAGAGGTTCCCTGTATCAGTGACTAAACACACTCAGGAAAGTTGTCATCAGACCTCACCCTTCCCCAGACACAGGGAATAAACCATTCTTCAGAACGCAGACTGCTGGCTAACACTGTTTACGTTTCCCTGACTTAATGAACGATGAGTGCTCGATCAGGTGCAATGATCCAGGCAGAATTTATACTTATTGATGTTTTGCTAATGGAGATTTCATTACTCATTAGCGGCCGGAAGCGCTTCAGATCGATGAGGTCTGTGCTCTGCTAACCAGCCAAAGCTTAATACCTTGTTCAACACTACGGCTCAGACATAAAACTAAATCTAATTCACGGTGATAAATGAGTGGCACAGACTTAGTGACCTCTGAGCTGCAGGGAAACAATGGGAGCTTTCAGACTAATATTTATTGATGCAAAGTTCAGTTTTCAGTTTTAGGGGAAATGTTTTTATATCCTTTTATGATTGATTCACATTGCCTTTTGTACACAATTCCTTAGTTTCACCTGGATAAAACCCCTAAGTTTTATCACAGCTGAACAGCATTGTTTTTAACCTGGATTTGAACATTGTCAGAGAATAAGGCTGTCTCACACTTTCAGGAAGACTGTTCTTGAAACTGAGATGTAGATTATATCTGTAAATGTGTCTCATGGACAAAATCCTTTCAAAGTGTATTTTATTGACAGCTCGTTGGCTAATCTATAAATGATCAATTTCAGGTCAAAAGAATCTTCGCCAAAATCTTTCACAGAGTAGTAACTGAGGCTTTGTTTTCAAATAAGATATAAATTAGGTCCTTACAGCCGCTGGCATTCCAATGTGGTCTCTCAATAGTCTCTCTCCGGTCGTTCTCTCTCTCTTGCCTTTCTCTCTGGTCTCTCTCTCTGGTCTCTCTCTCTGGTCTCTCTCTAGTCTCTCCCTCTGCTCGCTCTCTCTCTGGTCTTTCTCTCTTGCCTTTCTCTCTAGTCTCTCTCTAGTCTCTCTCTGGTCTCTCTCTTGTATCTCCCTCTGCTCGCTCTCTGTCTGGTCTTTCTCTCTGGCCTCTCTCTCTGGTATCTATCTGGAATTGCCCTCAGGAGGAAAAGATCGCCTATACCAAACTTGTGCCTAACTTGTGCCTAACTTGTGCCTAACTTGTGCCGTTTTGTTTGTTTACAGACGGAGGACATGCAGTGGCCGGGCGGAGAGCAGGACATCCCCATCTCGGTGTGCAGCCTTCCCTGTAAGGCCAACGAGAGGAAGAAGATCGTCAAAGGAATGCCATGCTGCTGGCACTGCGAGGCCTGCGAAGGATACCAGTACAAGACGGACGATTTCAGCTGCAAACTGTGCCCCTACCACATGAGACCCAGCCGCAACCACTCGTCCTGCCAACCCATCCCCATCGTGAAGCTGGAGTGGCACTCGGCCTGGGCTGTGATCCCGGTGTTCCTGGCCATGCTGGGAATCATTGCCACCATCGGAGTCATGGCCACGTTCATCAAATACAACGACACTCCCATTGTCAGGGCGTCAGGAAGAGAGTTGAGCTATGTCCTCCTCACTGGCATCTTCTTTTGCTACATCATTACTTTCCTCATGATTGCCAAGCCAGACGGCGGCGTTTGCTCCTTCAGACGGATTTTTCTGGGTTTGGGGATGTGCATCAGCTATGCGGCGCTGCTCACCAAAACCAACCGCATTTATCGCATTTTTGAGCAGGGGAAGAAGTCAGTGACTGCGCCCAAACTCATCAGCCCGACATCACAGCTCTGCATAACCTCCAGCCTCATCTTTGTGCAGCTGCTGGGGGTTTTAATCTGGTTAGTAGTGGATCCTCCCGAATCAATCATTGACTACGAGGAGCAGAGGACCATCAATCCAGACCTGGCGCGAGGCGTGTTGAAATGCAACATCACAGATCTACAGATCATCTGTTCGTTGGGATATAGTATTTTATTGATGGTCACATGCACTGTCTACGCCATAAAGACCAGAGGAGTACCGGAAAACTTTAACGAGGCAAAACCCATCGGGTTCACCATGTACACCACATGCATCGTGTGGCTGGCCTTTATCCCCATCTTCTTTGGCACAGCGCAGTCTGCGGAGAAGGTAAGAACAACACGCGTGAATGTAAAATATTATAATATGTCGGTTCACTTAGGTGATCAAAGGTTAAGGTCCATCGTCATGGAAACGTAGTGTTAGCAAAACAAAAACATAAGGTCATATTTGCTTTTCCTTATTGTAAAGCGTTACACTACAACTGCATTAGATAGTGCAACAGTGCAACAGTTGCTTCATATGACACAGATAATAGACAATATAATTGAAATAAGATAAAGAATAAAATAAAGTAAAATAAACTCTGGGGTTATAATTGCACTTGGTTCAGAAGTATTTACAGATGTGTGTATTGTACTTTAGCAAGACTTAAGCGAGAATATGAATATGAGCAGAAAAAACATCAGAAATAATATCAACAGGTAAAGTGACTGGTGAATGGCAGAAATATCATATGGATATGTAATAATGCAGTAATACTAATAACAGGTAAAGTGACTAGTGACAAAGTTTCTAGTGAATTATCAGTGACACTTGTACAGACTCAGCAGTTCTTGTTACACATTCTCGTTGATCTGTTTTTGGCATGTTGATGGCTGCGTAGATGACCGAGAGAGCAGCAGGTGAAGCGTGAGTGAGGCATGGAGAGAGTCTCGCTGGAGGCAGAGATTATTGCGGCTGCACTTGTGGCTCCGTGTGGATATGAGTGTGTTATCGCTGGGACTCTCACGCTCTGATCTTAGCCTGAGTCGTTCTGGAGTCTGTCTTTGGTGTTCGTCCTCTGCTTTGGAGAGATGGATTGGACCAAAGTCTCCGTGATGGACTGGTGTCCTCTCCAAGGGCAGGCAATTGTCCGACTGCTCCCAGCCACAGCCACAGATAATCCCGTGGCCTGAGGGGACACAGCGGTGAGGGACCTTCCTGCGGCTGTGACATCGTAAATCCACAAACACCACACTGTGCTCTTTACTATGTCACAGCACGTTTATTTGCATTGCACAGTTCATACACAATGTCTGTAACAAAACAAATGCACAAGACATTAAAATCACAAATAATCACACTACATTAAAAAGAGAAAAGATAAAATCCCTCAGTTGTGGGAATTGGACTATTGTAATGGTACTTCCTGGTTCTAGTCAGGACTCACTGCAGTGTTTTACATAATGCTACACTGAAAATATGTAGACGTTCTTCTATTGAATCACACAAACATGAGGTAGTGATTGCTTGAATCAAGTGCTCTTTTTAATCTTGATTCGAGGACATTCTGACTGTCTTCAAACAAGATGTGCCAATGGGACAAAGCCAGTTAGCCTAATTTCCAGAACTGTCGCTTTATTTTCTCATTCCAAAGGAGACATTTCTCGTATCTTTTAAAACAAGATCATTTTGGAACGTCCCATTGTCAAATCTTGTTTAAAGCAATCCAAAACTAACTTTAGCATATTAAAGAAGCAAGTATAAAAGCTCTAATTTTTGGTATATTTTGCACTTGCTTCTTTTTTATGCTTATTGGTAATTAAGTATTGAAATAGTTGTCAAGTAATTTAGTAATCAATGAATCCAAAACAAGGTTTTTATGACTCTGACAGAGCTAGAAAGTAGCATGGAATTGCTTTCTAGTGTCTCTAATCAAACAATATAGCATCTAGTTATTATGAAAGTGTTAGAGCGGCAATCGCTTTAGCTTTGTTTGAGTCAAAAAAAATACAATCCAATATACAACAGATTTAAACTAATCAACATTTTGCTTTCAAGCCTTCAGTCCTGTTTTGTTTTAATCATTCTTTCTTGATGACTTACTGTATACGAATGCACAAAAGGCTTCAAAACAGAAACAGGAGAAAAGGAACAGATTCATGGGGAGCGGATGAAGAACAGACTGTGGGAGATTGAGAGTTGGGAGAGAGACACGGGCCGATGTGATCTGGTGGTTTGGAGCAAGGAAAAATTGGGATGTAGATGGAAGAGGAAGCAAAGGGAACGAAACAAAAAATATCACAGAAGCAGATTGAATGACCTGAAATCTATTCTGCTGCTTTCTGCATCCAGGAAATGACACAGGCAATGAGCACGAGATTGGTCATCCCTGTTACCCCGTTTTTGGAAAAAGCCCCATTTCCAATCGCGATACAATATTCAATAAAAGGTTGTGTTGCATCAATGTAAAACGTTTTATGTGTCTGTGTTCATTTATAAGGTAAGGTAACTATTGTAGACCATTTTCAAGACGACTTCCACTCAACGGGGAGAAAACTAAACTAAACCAATTTTGTAGCCATTGTTAGCAATTCTGTGGCATTTATCAAGTGCCGGTCATGACACCAAAGTGCTGCTGCTGCCTCAAATTGTTGCATTCAATCTGAACTAAATCTTCCTATTTCATGCAACACGGCACACTAATCATTCATTCCATACGCGGTGGTGGTGAGCTACTAGCCACAGCTGCCCTGGGGCAATCTGCTGCAAGTGAGGCTGCCATTGAGGCCCCTCCTACCACCACCTGCCGTTCACACACACACAACATTCCATCCATCCATCCATTTTCTTCCGCTTTATCCGTTGCCGGGTTGCGGGGGCAGCAGTCTGCAAACCGTCCCAGTGCATGCTGCAGGTCCTGGTTCGTTGGAGCCAACAGGACAACATCGTCCGCAAAGAGCAGAGATGAAATCCTGTGGTCTCCGAACCGGACCCCCTCCGACCCCTGGCTGCGCCTAGATATTCTGTCCATAAATACAGTGAACAGAACCGGTGACAAAGGGCAGCCCTGTCGGAGGCGAACATTCACCGGGAACAGGTCTGACTTACTGCCGGCAATGCGAACACAGCTCTGGCTCTGGTCATACAGGGATCGGATGGCCCTCAGCAGAGGACCTCCGACCCCGTACTCCCGGAGAACCCCCCAAAGGACACCCCGGGGAACACAGTCGAACGCCTTCTCCAAATCCACAAAGCACATGTGGACAGGTTGGGCGAACTCCCATGAACCCTCGAGTATCCGATGGAGAGTATAGAGCTGGTCCAGTGTTCCGCGACCGGGACGAAAACAACACTGCTCCTCCTGGATCCGAGATTCGACCATCGGCCGTAACCTCCTCTCCAGTACCTTGGAGTAGACCTTACCGGGGAGGCTGAGGAGTGTGATCCCACGATAATTGGAACACACCCTCCGGTCCCCCTTCTTGTAGAGAGGGACCACCACCCCGGTCTGCCACTCCATTGGCACTGCCCCCGATCGCCACGCGATGTTGCAGAGACGTGTCAGCCAAGACAGTCCTACAACATCCAGAGACTTTAGATAATCAGGCCGGATCTCATCCACACCCGGAGCCTTGCCACCATGGAGGCTACCAACCACCTTGGTGACCTCAGCCAGGGAGATGGATGTACCCGCCCCAACATCCTCAGCCTCTGCCTCTGTAACAGAGGACGTGACGGGGGGATTGAGGAGAACCTCAAAGTATTCCTTCCACCGCCCGACAATATCCCCAGTCGAGGTCAGCAGCCCTCCACCCGCACCGTACATGGTGTTGGCAAAGAACTGCTTCCCCCTCCTGAGGCGCCGGATGGTTTGCCAGAATCTCTTCGAGGCCGACCGATAGTCATGCTCCATGGACTCTCCGAACTCCTCCCAGTCTCGGGTTTTTGCCTCTGCAACAGCCCGGGCCGCGGCACGCTTGGCCTGCCGGTACTGGACAGCTGCCTCAGGAGTCCCCCGAACCATCATGGCTCGATAGGACTCCTTCTTCAGCCTGACAGCATCCCTTACTGCCGGTGTCCACCACCGGGTTCGGGGGTTGCCGCCGGGACCAGCACCAGAGACCTTGCGACCACAGCTACGAGCCGCCGCATCGGCGATTGAGGCAGAGAACATGGTCCACTCGGACTCCATGTCCCCCTCCTCCGCCGGGACCTGGGAGAAACTCTCCCGGAGGTGTGAGTTGAAAGTCCGTCTGACAGGGGGCTCAGCAAGACGTTCCCAGCAGACCCTCACTATACGCTTGGGTCTGCCAGGTCTGACCGGCTTCTTCCCCTGCCAGCGGATCCAACTCACGACCAGGTGATGATCGGTTGACAGCTCCGCCCCTCTCTTTACCCGAGTGTCCGAGACACGCGGTCGAAGGTCAGATGATACGACAACAAAGTCGATCATCGACCTCCGGCCTAGGGTGTCCTGGTGCCACGTGCACTGGTGGACACCCTTGTGCTCAAACATGGTGTTCGTGATGGACAAACCGTGACTGGCACAGAAGTCCAACAACTGAGCACCGCTCGGGTTCAGATCAGGGGGGCCGCTCTTCCCGATCACCCCTCTCCAAGTGTCACTGGCGTTTCCCACATGGGCGTTGAAGTCCCCCAGGAGAATAACGGAGTCCCCGGGCGGTGCACCGTCCAGTACCCCTCCCAAGGACTCCAAGAAGGCCGGGTACTCTACACTGCTGTTAGGCCCGTAGGCCGTCACAACAATGAGAGACTTGTCCCCCACCCGGAGGCGGAGGGACGCGACCCTCTCATTCACCGGGGAGAACTCCAACACGTGGCGGCTGAGATGGGGGGCAATGAGAATGGCCACCCCAGCTCGCCGCCTCTCCCCGCGGGAAACTCCAGAAAAGTGGAGCGTCCAACCCCTCTCAAGGAGTTGGGTTCCAGAGCCCAAGCTGTGTGTGGAGGTGAGGCCAACTATCTCTAGTCGGTATCGCTCAACCTCCCCCACGAGCTCGGGCTCCTTCCCCCCCAGTGAGGTGACGTTCCACGTCCCAAGAGCCAGATGTTGTGTGTGCGGACTGGGTCGCCGAGGTCTCCGCCTTCGACTGCCGCCCAGTCCTCTCAGCACCGCTACATTCAGCACACAACATTCACACAAGGCAAAGTGGGGGAAGTGTCTTGCCTATGAACACAACGGCGAGTTTAAGGGCCGCCCCACTGTATAGTACCTGGTGGGAACACTAGGTCTCCCATTACACTAGGTCGCACTTAGACCAGGCCTAATGTTAGCATCATGACAGGAAAATGCACCAAATCTTCTGGTTTCGGGAAATGTTGATTTGATATGACCAGAGAGAGAGAGAGAAGAGAGCTCTCTCGTCTCCCTTCCTTCTTTCTGGTCTTTCACTCTTCACCAGAGGGAGAGAAACCAGAGAGAGACCAGAGATAGAGGGACCAGAGAGAGAAGAGAGAAATTGTGCTGTTCCTGTGGAAGTGAGACAACCTTCAGTCCATGTTGTCTTTGTTAAAACGGTCTATCAGGAGTAAGGGATTGGGATTTGGGAATGGGAGTTAGGGGTTAGGGATTTTGTTTGGGTTATTGGTGTCTTAATAACACCTGAACACGTTTTTGTCCTGTTCAGAGGCGTGTACATTTTTCAGCTGCTGTTCCAGTATTTTGGCCTCCAGCTGTCTTATCTTAACAGCTGCATCTGTCTTTGCCTCCTGGATTTGATGGTCCTTTTTTTTCCTGCTATTGTTCAATGTCCAAAAATCTGAATTATTCATACCAAATTATGGCTCACCAGTCATTTAAAATAAATACATAATGTATTAATGTAATTTATGGACTTTAGGGCACACCTGTATAAAACCCGAACCAGCAAAATTAAGAAGTATATTTTTTCCAGACATATTCACCATTACCTTCCATGACACATTCACCGTTAGCTCTAACGTAAACACTTTTTAGCACTTGAACTGGTTTCACTCTGACATACAGATAGTAATGTATTTGTGACACATGAATAATACAAATACTATATATATAATTGATATCATTCATGTTAGATAACAGATTATTTATTTCCTCCATTTACAGTAAACAACAATAAAAATATATCTCAACATTTTGCGTGACTTTTGGTGGTTCTCCGCTTTTGGGTTCATGGTGTTGTACAAAGTATAA